CGTGTTTCAGACGGGACGAGTGCACAGCCTCCCTCAGGCGAGTGGGTATGGGTGGTCCGAGACGCATCTCTGGGTAAGCAACGACCTCCGCAGACATCACGTCGGGGTCACCAAAATGTGGCATTTTCAGCCTTGCCACATTAAGGTGGGTCACTCATGAATTCTGGCAAGCAACGACAAGCCAGAAAAGGAAGAGACATGCAGAAATCTCCTCGGGATGAGTGGACTCAGAGTGTGCTCTGAGGCCCCCCTTTATTCAGTACATACATGAGGAAGTACAGTTGTCAATACATAATTGGTTACATTTAGTTGCAGGGTAGAATAAGTCCTAATGTAGCGTCTTTAACATATGATTGGTTGTAGCTTTCTATAGGATGTGGTTAGTGCAAAGCAGATTGCAAGCTTCTTCTTGCCCCATTGCTATGCTAGCTTCCTGTTAACCGTTATTTTCTCAGAGGATGTGGTTGCCTCACTTACTGTCCTAGGCCTCTAGTACGCAAGCTGGCCACTGGCCTAGTTTTGCTATAGAAGCCTGAACTATAAAATTCCAACAGGGATCCCCAGATCCACTTCCTGTTCTGGGGAGATTTCAAACAGATCAGAGCTTTTCTCCGACAGAAGGAGGGAGGATCGGACCCTCCGTGATCCAGAACCCGCTTCTTCCCCTGGTGGGGCTGAGCAGTGAGGGAGTCTGAAGTATGCCTGAGAGGAGAAACGTCTGAATGTAACGCAGGTTTGGCGTCCTCACAATCACGAATCCTCCTCAAGTCAGGAAGGGCTGGTCAGTTTGGGCCTGTCTGTGTCCAAGCAAGCCCTTCATTTCAGGCTCTCCATCCAGAGGGGCTTCTCTCCTCCTGCCTCCAGCCCAGCCTGTTTAATAGTTAAGAACCTTTTTTTATACCTTTTGAAAAGCTGCTCCATTGATAGTTTCTCTGAGCAAAGAACTAGGAACACCCCAAGACCCCCCTTTCTAATTACTAAGGAATAATAACTTTTAAATGTGCTGCCACAAAGAAGAGGGAGTCAAGCTATTCTCCAAAGTGCCTGAAGGCAGGACAAGAAGCAACGGATGGAAACTAATCAAGGAGAGAAGCAACCTAGAACTAAGGAGAAACTTCCTGACTGTTAGAACAATTAACCAGTGGAACAACCTGCCTCCAGAGGTGGTGAATGCTCCAACACTGGAAGTTTTTAAGAAGAGACTGGACAGCCATTTGTCTGAAATGGTGTAGGGTTCCTGCCTGAGCAGGGAGTTGGACTAGATGACTTCCAAGGTCCCTTGCAACATTTTTTTATTATTATTATTATTATTATTATTATTATTATTATTATTATTATTATTATTATTATTATTATCATTATTATTATTATTATATATTATATTATTATATCCAGCCCTGCATAACATCTTCGAATCTCGTTGTTTGAGGAAGTTGCATAACATTCTCAGAGACTCTTCCCATCCTACTTACAATCTTTTTGGACTGTTGCCTTCTGGCAGAAGATACAGAATAATTAAAACTCAGACCACACGTTTTCTGAATAGTTTTTATCCCAGAGCTGTAATTGCACTCAACAACGAACTAAGGGGCCACCATCAGTGAACTGTTGGACAGTATTACTTGGTCTGTTGTGTGGATGTTGGGTGGTTTTAGGGGTGGAGATTGTGGTGGGGGGAGTGTGTTTGGGGATTATGTGTGCGGGACTTGGTTTTGGGGTATCAAGTAAATTTCGTTGTATATGTATACTATGTACACACATACAATGACAATAAAGTATATATATAAATTATTATTATTATTATTATTATTATTATTATTATTATTATTATTATTATTATTATTATTAAATATTTTTAGTTTTAGCAACTGTCCCATGTCAGTGGCTTCTGAAATGGAAGGAGGAGAATTTGGGGCAGCAAATCCCTCCCTGTCTTAGAAAAAGGGGGGATATTGGGGTTTAGGACTGGGGGGGGGAATCGAAGAGAAAGTGACAATCATCTTTACAAAGATTATTCAAGGATTGTTTCTCTCTAGAGCAGAATTCTCCTGAGCCAGAATTCTGGGAGTTGAAGTCCACAAGTCATAAAAGAGCCAAGGGTTCCCCCCCTCTAGACTCTAATGCTGTTGGATTCACATGGCAGCCTTAACCCAAGCGGTCAACTGCAGCACCCTCTGCGCCTCCCAACACCCAGAACCGAGTTGAGAAGCAAGCCGGGTCCTCCCAGCACCAGAAGCCCCAAAAAGCCAGAAAGCCACTCCAAAGGCAGGACAGACGACCCAGGAGTTGTGCGAACGCAACCGCGAGGTTTGTGAATTGACCCGATCACGTGCAAAAGCCGCTTTCCGACAACTTCCACTTTGAAAGTGGGAAAGAACCGCGCTCGGGGGCGCCCAGGTAGACTTGACTGACCTCTGGAGGGGCCACCCTTGTCCTGTTCCCAGAGGGGCTCTCCGGGGGGGGGACAAAGAGAGGCAGCAGTGTCCCATCTACGCTTTGGGGTCCCTTCTGAGAGCGGCCAGAGGGGGAGCGGACTAGAGAGAGGACCGAATCAGGATTCTCTTCCTGGGAATAATCT